GAATAGAATCATTTTAAGGAACATATTTTTAAACAACTTTTACTTTTTTTACATGATAACATTTATTTGCTTTTACGAGTACTTATTTGATGTTATATGGAAAAATTCGCAGTTCAAATTCTAATAAGTTGTATACATGTATATGTACATATGTATACGAGTGCCTAATTAGTATGTTCATATACTACAAGTAATGTGTATATGTAAAATATAAGTTCTACAAAGAAACAGGTACCTTCACGTTTCTACATATACATTCTTACATACATACGTACATATAATCTATATGATATGTAAACTGATATATATGTATATCAGATTAAATCAAACAAAGAAAAAAAATTTGGCTGTTTTGCGAACAAAAAAAAAAATAAATGTTATCAAATATAGACACGAGACACAAAAACAATGGAAAAAAAAAGATAACAAATATTTTATATAACTTTAAGATAAATATGTGAATATAGGTACATATTCATATTATATTTTTACATACTTATATGAATTTTTTTCAGAATCGCAATAGATAGTAAATCTTCCCTAATTTTTTATTCTTTTTAAAAACTGTATTTACGCATTATTAAATTGCGTAAAAAAATACACACCATTATGTAGATACTTATATACATATTAAATATGTCAATAAAATATATATGTACATATAGATATACATCTCATATACAAAGTTTTATTTTGAATGTATTGACTATCAGATGTTAAAAAGCGAGTATTAACGCACAAAATAAATAATTATTGTGTGCGTAAATATTGTACAATATTATTATGTAAGTATATATTTATTTTTTTTAACAGAGTAACGCCATCTATGAATAGTAATTTTTAAAAAATTGAAAAAAAAAAAAAACATTTTTTGGTAATATACATGTATGTTTCGTATACCATGTACATACACACATATTATGTGTACCGTAAATATGATATAGAAAAGATAATGGAGTTTAAACAAAACTTTAGATCCTATATAAATTTTAACTAATACAAGGATATTTTCTAAAGTAAAATAAGCCGAAAAACAGAAAAGAGAGAGAAAACAAAAAAAACTTAATCTTAACGTAATATACTTATGTATATTCGAGTAATAAAGTCACCAGTATAGTTGAAAAATAAAAGTGAGAGTCGTCATTTTTATATGTAGATACATTTAAATTTTTGTTTTTTTTAGAAATCTAAGGGTTAGTACAGATAGGAAATGGTATATATACAAGAGAAAAATATGAATATAGTGAAAATCCTGGGCTGCTAGCAAAGATGCCAAGAAGGGTTTGAAAAAATATATGTACATGATGATTCCGCAACACAAATATTCTAAAATATCCGACTTGTGAAAAAAGTTTTATATTTTATACTCCACTGTTATCTTGTTATCTTAAAGATGAATTTATTATTAAAAACGAGACATGTGTACGGCGAGTTAAAATTGGTGCTATTACTTACATGTATACGTACCTGACACACTGTGCTACATTTGATTGATAACATGAATTTATTTTTTACATATAAGTAAAAAAAATACATAGTACATAAAAAAATAATTTTGTTAGTAAAACTCAAAAAACAGTTTGTTTCAGAGCAAACTAAAATAAATAAATTTGAAGTAGCTAATTTGAAGAGATCATCATTGATAATTTTAGCTTTCACGATACTTTAGGGAATTAAAAAATTTTAATATTTTATATTTTCAATGTTTTTAAAGTTTTCGGGCAACTGTTAAAATTGTGAGAATGTGTACATAATTTGTATGTATTTATTAAAAGGTTTACAATATACTATAGAGTTTCCTTAGTTCATTCATTCCATTCCTTAGTTTTGACTTTATAATATTCATTATGCTAAAAAGTTGCATTTTATATTCATATAAGAGATACATACATGTGGTACATATGTATGTATTTAGGCTAGTTATTTTAGATAAGCGACATATTAGATAAATATAAAAAATTTTCAACTTTACGTATACATATGAATTTGTATAACTACATAAGTTCATATACATAGATATTTAATAACAAAAAAACGTAAATGACTTTTTCCCTTTTTTCTAAATTTTTTTTTTATTATTTAAAGTTCAGATTATTTTGTTTGTAAGAATAAAATGGAAAAGTTTTTTCTTTATCTTTATATTGCAAATTTTTGCCATTTAATGTAAGGTAGATGCATACATACATACATGTATTCATATATATACTAAAATATAGAGTATGTACATGGTGTATATATCTAATGTATTTTAAGGAAACCATATGACGCAAAAACGTGGCCTCACACCAATGTACATATATTTTATTATAAATATGTATGTAGGTATATACTTAATACATATTATGTATGTACTTACATACTGCAAATAATGTACATAAATATATACATACGGTACATAAATCTGTATTATGTACATACTTATAATTTTGTATATAACACCTAAAAATTGTATACAATAGAAAAAATCACTTAAACATCACACTCTATACATACAATAATAATAGTAATTTTTTTTTGTTTTTGTTTTTTCCAACAAAACTTTTTATCTTTTATGTAATGTGCTTTTTAATTTTTTTGCTCTGTTTTTTCTTATTGTTGTTTTGTACGAGTATAAAATTTTAAGAAGACAAAAAATCAAAAAAAAAAACTATAAAAACAAGAAAACAAAAAAATATAGTAAAAAAAAGACAAGGAATGAAAAATTTTAAAGTTTTAAATGGAACTCTGAAATTTAATATTCGTACACTTATACTCGTATAATAGTCAGTTATAGCGCTATTGTATAGATTTACTATCCACGATTACGTAATCTAGAAGGATGTTAAATCCTGTATGTTAAGATACTATTTTAATGTACCTATAACCATAGGCACACATACATACATAACATGTAAAATATGTAAATATATGGGTATTAATTTTTTTGTTTGGACAATATCAAATATAAGAGCGTGCCTACATACTACCGAAAATATTGAAAAAAAATCATGGGTTTTTTGTTTTTAAAGTAAAAAAGTTATTTTATTTTGATTTTTACTATTATTATTATCATTATTTATTTTTTTTTTTTTGCTGTAAAATTATTTAATAAGGAATGACTCAGAACATTAATATAGAAAAGCAAAAATAATAATAATTTTGTTTGTTATACAATTATTTATATTTTGGTTATGTTTGGTTTGTTTTTTATTATTGTTTGAATGTTTTAATAAAATATTTACAAGGTTACAGAGTGTTTAAAAATTACGTAAGAATTTTTATTTATTTCTACATTTTTTCTTGTAAATTTTCGTTATTTTACAAGCATTTTGTTATATTCTATATTAAAAATGTTTTTCGAAATAATTCTTCCAGTAATAATTAAATATTAGTAAATTTAAGCAACATTTTATGTACATATGTTTACATATTAGAAAAAATCTTATTCATTTGAAGAATATGAGAAAATACAGAATAAAGCTGGGAGTTTTTAAGTAAAGAAAAATTTTAAGAAAATTAAATATTTTCAAGTAAATTTAAATATTTTAGTTTACTCTATTCTATAATAATTTTGTAACAATTTTTAGAAAAGATTTTAAATAGCCATTGTTAAAATTATATATTATTGGTACTTAAGTGAATTTCATTTTGTGTGTTGCCATTAATACATAACAAGTTATTGTGTGTCTACAAAATCCATTCATTTATACTCGTATAGAAATTTAATGAAATAAATACAATAAAAGCTTTAAAATTAATTAAATTAATTAAATGTATTGAGAAAAGTTTTATAAGTTTCTTTAAATGTACATTTTTCATACGTATAACTTATGTTTAATTAATAAAAAGAAAATTGTAAGAAGACGGCAACATTGGTTTTTAAATTGTACTTGAAATATTGAAATAATGGAGATAATCGTTTTCAAGTTTTATACTTTTTCATTGTATGAAATATGGACATTTATTTTAGATGACATGTATAAGTTTTTTTGCTGTATAGTTTTTTTTATATTAAATTATTGTTGTGTTGGTTTTTTTTTTTATTATTTTGTATATGGTTTTGTTTATAATTTATTACATTTAAACTTCTTATAAAATTGTTATTTAATGACTTTTAAATAACAATTTTAAATAACAAGAAAAAACCAAACAAGATTTAAACATTTTAAATTGATTAACTTTTAAAGTTGTATAATTATGATGTTGTTTAGTTATTTAATTAAGTACATATGTATTTTATATAATTTTAAATTACAAAATATATTCTTATGGATTGAAATTTTAAATAAAATTATGATTTTTTAATAGTCATACTTCATTATTTATTAAAAATATACCTAAAATAATTTCTAATTAAATAATTCACAAGGTAATATTCAAATAAAATTTTGATTTATAATAAAAAATTAAAAAATGGTGGTGTATTATACTTGTATTATGTAATTTAAACCAGAATAATTCACAACCTTACAAATTTCAACTAATATAAATAATATAATTTTCTAAAATTTGCTATAAGTAAATATTTATAGAACATTAATAGAAGAAGAATATCGAAGAAGATTTTTAAAGCGACAGCTTCTGAGTCATATTGCATTTTTCGATTTTTCTATCCAATGCAGATTAGAGGATCAAGTTCAAGCAATGAAAAAATTCAATCTGGTCTTCTAAGCTTGAAAGGATTGAGAACGATCTTGAGTCTTGAGATTGGTTACTTCGTACTCAAAACAGAAATATTAATATAGCACGTACCGTGGTCAAGATTGACACACACATATTCCAGTATAACCAAATTAAGTAAAAATGTTTCTCAATATGGGGAAACTATTAATTGGAATTTTTCAAAACGAAAAATTTCCTTATTTTTTTAATATTACCATAACATTAAGAGGACTCCTCTAAATGCAATAAGGCCCTTATTGCATTATTCAAAGGTTCAAATGTTTGTATTTAAAAAAAATAAAAATTTAGTTCTAAATTACTAGAATACTAATTAAATACTAATAATTAAATTAGCTTACCTGCTTGTAATAAGATTTCCATGTTTTCCCATATGTTTCAATAATCATAGTGTTTATTTATATTTATTTTATTGTTGTTGTTATGTTCACTATATTTATGTTATTTTAAACATTGCTTGAAAATGTTTTAACTCAATTTCCTCAATATTCTTAGTTAATGTTTTTTTAACAATTTCTATGATTTTTTGTTAGTATTCATTTTCAGTTGATGTTAGTAATATTTCATTCCTTTAATTTCTTCAATAATTGAATTGGCAAAATATTTCAATGTTAAATATGTACATACATATATATAAACCGCACCATCATAATATATTTAACTATAAGTATATAATAAAAATATAATATTTAAAAATGTATAAAAGAAAAAAAAATATTGAACTAAAATAAAACAAAAACATTATTTTTTTTTTGTTTATAAATAAAAATTCATTTCGCATTTCGTTGTCATTTCTAAATTATCTTCAATTTCAATTGAACGTAGTAAAAAGTTATTTTCAAATTTCATAATCAACTAAAAAAATTTTTCATCTATGAATAATAAGTATAAATAAGTGCTCATGTATGTACATAGATATATAGATGTGGCATATTATATATAATATTTAAAATATATAATATAAAAAAATATATATATTATTTATATTATATAAGTAGGTTTATATTATTATGTATACTTATGTATATAAAAAATAATTCATTATATAGGAGAAAATGTTATTTTATTAAAATAAATGAAGAAAAAAATATTCTTATTTATTTTTATTGTTTACATTTAATATAAATTTTTCATTTTTTTGTTTTAAAACTAAAAAGAATTTAAATAATAAATATTTGTTAATTAATAATGACGACAGCAAAATTATGTATTTAAAAATTTAAATTTATATACAATATACAATTTTAATAATAATTGTACTTAGTGACATTTACAAATATTTATATCGCTTTCATAACTACTTGTCAAGAAAAACATTTCTATAAGAAATTTTTATAGGAACATCTTTCCATATAAATACATTTTTATATGACAATTGAGGCTGTTTTGCACAAAATTGAGAACAATTTCCTTTTAACATTGTAATAAAAAATTTAAACAAAACTACACAAATTTTCTTTAATTTTCCTACACAAATATTGAAGTCTAGGTCTTGTATATGTATCTAACTTTATATTGAAGTAATGGAAATAATTCACTTAAATAATTCTTCTATTATTATTTAATTGCCATTTAATTAATTTACTTATTTAAGTCATAACCATTTTCATGGAAGCTGTGCATAAATAATTTTGAAAAAGAATGTCTTAAAAAATTTAACAACAATCAAAATGAATTTAAAATGCGATAAATTGCCTACCTTGTACAGCAAACGAAAAATAATTTTTTTTTGTTCTCTTAAAGAAATTTTCCCGTTTTGAGAGACAAAATCAAAGAACTGATCTGACAACTATAATATCAGTAAATTCTTTTTGAAATCTTTGGATTTTTGATTAATTTTAATTTTTTCATTTGATTGAGTATATTATAAATTAACTTCACTGTAAGTAAATCTTAAGTAAGTTGACCCGTAAGAATTTCGGGCAATATTTTTCTTTTCAATTAATTTTAGTATAAACAAAACTAATATAAAATCTAATTAAATATAATTGTTAATTACAGTATTTCATATAATCATAGTATGAATAATATTTAAAAAAAAAAAAAAATGAAAAACATCAATTTAATATAAGCAGTTTCAAATCAATTAAAAATTAACAGGGTGATCTAAATAATCTTATGAAATAATCAAAAGTTAGAATGAATAAAAAATTTTTATAACAATTAAATATTATTAAGAGTTCAAAGTTAATTTACAAAAATAACTTTTGATTTTCACCTTGCTTTCATTCTTTTTATTTTCTATTAAAAATAATATTTTAAATTTTATTTAAATTAAATAGCATGAAATTTTTTACGGTTATTTAAAAAATCTATTTATAAATTTCTTTATTTGTATTTATTTATTTCTTAATTCTTTGTCAGGAGGTAAATAAATTTGAAGACATTGTATTGAATGTAAAAATAAATATAAATTTTGTTTTATATTTTAAAAAAAATATACGTACACATATACATAAATACTTAATTTTTATAATGTTGCCATTATGACTCCTTTGTATTGTACGAATAATTGTGTATTGAAATACTCGTAATAAAAAAAAGGTTAAAATTTATGTTAAAAATTATGTTGAAAATTATTCATGTTTTAAATAGTTTGGTACTCATATTAAGTATAATATATGTATATTAATGACTACTTTGTACTTATTTTGAAATATAAAATTTTATAAAAATATTTTTAGTGGTAATAAATTCATTTTCTAAAATTAATTTATACAATTACATACATTTAAATTATGGATAAATTTCCATATTGTCGTATAGAATACGAGAGCAATAAAAATATTCTTAAGTTCACCGGTGAACTACTATGCTATGTATGTACAAGCTACTATTTACTACTAAGTATATAAGGAAAAAAATTATTTATCAATATTATTGTTGATCTTAAGAATCTATGTAATTAATAACTAATTTCATTCAATTGTAAAATGTTTTAAATCATTATTGCAAGCCATTAGGGAATTGAACGTTTCTATTAGACTATAATGTCTCGTTTATTGAAAAGAATATAGATAAAGCAATAAATTTTGTATTCTGTATAATTATAAATTGCCATTGAAAATTTCATGTCTTTAAAAAAAATTCAAATTACTTTCTTTTTTTTAAAAAGGAGGAAAAGAAATCTTTAATTAAGGCAAAAATTCAAAATCTACTAACAAAATCGCAAAAATATTGTGGTTGGTTGTTGTTCTACCTTTGTTAAATTTTCACTTTTCAATTGCATTAAAAATACAGATATTTAGTTTTAATTTGTAAAATTTTATAAACTTTTATCTTATAATTAGTATTACACGTGAATATAATAAATGGATGTTTACATAATGCACAGGTGCAGAATTTAATTTTTAAGAAGCTCTAATATCATTTGTAATTTTTTTTTTATTTTCTTTTTTGGTTTAGTTGTTGTTTTCTGCTCTCTATAGAATACAAGTTTTATTTTTTCTAAAACAAAAAAAAAATATATTTTTCCTTTTTTGTACTTATTGTAAATGTTCAGATATTTAAATATTTTTTCATATTTAAATTACATCTTAATAATTACATTGTTTGTATGTATGAAATTCGTGTGTCAGTATTTGTGCATTGCAATTTTTTGTCATTTTTATAATATTTAAGCACCTACCTATACGTGTAAGTAAAATTATATTTAAAGTGAAAAAAAAAATACTTATAAGGTATGTGAGTTGAGAATAATTGAGAAGAGAAAATAATAAATTATTATGGAAATTTTGTACAAAAATCTTCATTGAAAATTATATTACGGCTTTTCTTCTCAAATTGAAATCACTTTCCATATAAAAAAATATATAATATCTGTACCTACAAATATATAAATTGTCGGAGAGAATACAAATTAATTAATTAAAATATTATTACGTAAGACATTTTAATAATTTAATACATAACATATATGGTATAAGTATGTTTATAATATGTAAATGTAAGTGTATATGTGTGCACTTTATTTGTAGCAAAGGAAAATATTCTGTATATCAACTTTTTGCATATAAATTGTTGTAGTAATTAAAATAAAATCGATATTTTTATTACAAATAACTTATTTGAGTTAAATTTGTTAATTAATTATTAATTTAATTTAAAAAATTATGTGCTATGTAAGCATAAAAAATTCTTTTTCATCCTATTGTGAATTATGTGTGACCAAATTGCATCGCAAGAGGATGACATAGCATATTGAAAATATAAAAAAGTTTCTTTTTAAAATATTTAATATTTTTTGATTTTCAGTTTTTTCTCAAAATTTTATTTTTAAGCAGCTACTTTTCGAAAACGGTAAGTCTGACATCAAGCATCCACATAACCGTTATACGTACGACTATTAATTAAGAATAAAAATTGTGATTAATTTATTGCTTTAAATTCAACAGCTCGGAAGCTGTTATCAATATTCATCAGACAGAATTCTTTTCATGAGTTTTTACTTAACCATACACTCTTGCACACAAAGTTTTTTACTTGATAAACATTAAGAAATCCAACACCAACCAATTTTAAGAACAGTTTTTGATCACCCTGTATGTACATATGTACTTCTGTACATTTAGTCGTATAAATTATTTTTATTACAAAAATTTAAATAAAATGTAAAGGAATCATAAATAATAAAATAAAAATTATTCTAAACAATAATAATGAAGAAAGTAAAAATAATTATAAATATAAAAATTTAAAGTGAAATATTTTCAAAAATTACCACTTCGTTATAATAAATGTCATTTTTTGAATGAACGATGTACATTAAGAATATTATAAACTACTTGAATAAATATTAAAAATATTGTATAATTATATGTAAAATAAATTTAAATGTTAAACGTTTAAAAAATATTCTAAAATTTTAGAAGTACATTTATATGTATGGCTATATGTAGATATGTATATATATTTGTAAAGAAATCTGTTTTTATTAAATAATATTAAAAATATGAGTATTATGTATGTCTGTTGTACATACATACATATGTTGTATTTTATATTAAATTATGCATGTGTAATTATTTAATTGAATTGAAATAACTGTATTGAAATTTAAATATAAATTTATATACATAAACATATGTATAGCACATATTTATATACTAAATTATTTTCTATTTCCTTTCAATAAAAGATAAACCCTTAATTTATTAAATTGAGTGTAATATTTACTTAAATACGTAAGAAAAAAAAATTTCAAAAAATATAATATTCATTTTGCATTGAACACCTTGAGTTTCATATTGCAGTAAAATACAATAGCATGGCTGAATTAAAATTCAAATACCTGATTGCTGCATAAGTAATTAAATACTGCATAAATAATTAAATAACAACCAAAACTTAATGAATATTATTGAAATACCTACTTAACTACCTACCTACTTAATTAATTTAATTTAGATTCGGTTGTCTGTTCTATTTATTTTATTAAATCTTTCTTCTCTGATTATTTATTTTTAGTAATATTGATTATCATTAAACATTTCTTAAATAATTTGAATAAATAAAATTTTAAAAGTAAAAATTTTTGATAAATTACCTTTAAACACTCTGTACACTGTTTATTTTATTTTTTGTATTTTAAAATAGTATACCATAATAAAAAGTATTTGAATTTATTAAGTCGCATTTACTTGAATAAATTTTATAAATGAATCAAAAAAGAAAGTTCTACAAAAAATATTATTTTTCTTCTTTTTCTTGTTGTGCTTTTTCTTTTTTATGAAAATTTTATATAATATAATATGCATATAAGTAAGTATATATGCAAATATATTCGTCATGTGAATATAATATGCTTATATTTATGTATATACATTATATATTTTATATAATATAGGAGTACAAGCAGTACATATATACATACATATAAATATTTATACTTATGTAATATATTTTCATAATTATAATATTAAATGATAGTTTTTGGTATAGACGAGTAGATACATATATGCATGTACATATATATGTACATACATACAATTATGGAATATTACTTTAAGAGTTATTTTGCTTATACATATTCATGTATATGTATATGTATGTATGGATTATGAAATTTTCAATTTAAAATTTATTTGCAAATATTAAATTTTATTTTTGTGAAAAATCAAAATTCATGTACAATGTTACAACCATATGTATTTATACAAACACATGTACATACAAACATATACGTACATATTCATCCTTATATTGTTATTTTCTATTAAATTTATTCATTTGGATTTTGCATTTAAAATATAAAATTAAATAAAAATATTCTCATTTTTTGTAATTAAAAAATCAATTTTGTGTGTACTTTTTGTTTGTGTTTCACTAAAAATTTTTTGTGTTTCTTCATTATATTGAAAACCACACGTCGCAATTTTTAAAAATTAGAAATTTTATAAAAAATGTTTTTTTTTGTTTTTTTCTTTCTATTATTTTTATTTTTATAAATTTTTCTTTTACACAAAACACAAATTGTTTTTAAAGAAAATTTTTCCACTTTTTCAGTATATTTTCTTTCCAGATTTTCACTGAATTTCACAATTTTTCCTTCAAATGAAAAAAATTTATTTGTTACCCAAATTTTTTATCTTTCAATTTTTTTCTGTGTATAGTTTTATTAATTGTGATTTCATTTTCTTTTTTGAACTTTTGTTTTTGTAAAATCTTAACACAAAATGTTAATAAATTTTTTTTTTTATTTAACGTGTAAAATGGAAATGATTGGAATGGAATGATAGGGATGAGGGCTTGTAGGTATAACGTTAAAGGGAAGAACAGTTTTTATTTTTTGCTTCTTTTTTCTTATAATTTTCTCTCTTCGAATATTTACGTCGTAATTTTAAATAAATCGATAATATTTTTTCCTCTCTGCAAACGTACTATTAAAAAAAATATTAAAATGAAAATGAAAAGAAATTGCGACTTAAAATTAAATTTTTATTTTTTTTTTTAATTTTTAATTAGAATTAAAATATTTTTTTCTATAATTTTAATGTTATTTTTCTTAATCCTTAAAAAAAATTTTTTTTTTCTTAACCATTATGAAATTATGGTGTTAATTTAATTAAAATATTAAAAATATTTTGAATGCTTTTTTACTTAAAATTTTTGATGATTCTTTTAAGTTTTTTTTTTTTTTAATTTTTTTTTTATATTATTTCTGATTATTATTGTTGCTTATTTTTCAATGGAGTGCACAAACGTTTCGCACGGCCGACAAAATTCTAATAAAGGCAATTTTATTTTCGAATTTCACATATCTTTAATAAAAATAAAAAAAAATAAAAAAAATAAAAGGAAAACAGGCAAAAATGACTGTAGAATTTTTCTTGTATTTTTGTTTTTTTTTTTGTTCTTATTATTGTTATTGCTGTTATTTATTATAATTATTTTTTTTTTTATTTGGTATATAAGGCTTTATTTGGTACATTTTCGAATGGGACACTATATAGTTTTTAATTATGTATGTATGTATGAACGTAATATATATTTACATCAGATTGATGCATACAATTATAATATACGGTTACATACGGTTACGTATATAAGTACATATTGATTTGTACATAAAGTATAAATTTTGGTTATTTAAAATAATATTATGTGCACGTATGTATTTATATAGATAGCTAGGTAATATTAAACACAAATATTGAATATAATTTTCATATTTATTAAAAAAAAAATTATGTATGTACTAATATAAAATTTTTATAATAACATTTAAGTACTGCTCAGAATTTATGTACGTGTATGTATCCATGCCTATACGTACTGTATACCTATATAAATTTTTTCTAGTTATATACTTATAATTGATATTTATATATTAACATTATATGAAGCCTTATATTTCATAATTATACATACATATATATACATATATATATATATTTATGTATGTACATATGCATTTATAAATTAAATTATTTTAATGTACATATACATTAAGTGTATAATATATATATATATGTACATACTAAATTGAAAGGCTTATATTCTTATATAAATATATATACGCAATATATACATACATACATCCATATGGATATGCATAAATCTAATATGAAATTTTTTAAATACGTACATACTTATTCATACATATATTGAAAGTATGTAAGTATGTGTATATAAGTTATATTGAAAAGGAGCGAATAAAATATAAAATTAAAAAGCATTATTATTGTATATATATATATATATATATATATACGATAATACGATAATACGATATGTAAAGTATTTTGTAAATATATATATATATATACGATATATATATACGATAATACGATATATAAAGTATTTTGCATATATATATATATATATATATATGCAAAATACTTTCAATACACATACAAACACATGCACATACAAATCTATGTATGTACATAAACACTTACTCGCATTTTTCCATGACATTTAAAATAAAAATTGTACATTGTTTTTTTTATTTTTGTAAATTATAATTAAGTTCTAGCAAATTTTTGCAATATATTTAATATTTAGCCATTTTATTTTAATAAGAATTGCTATTTTTATAAAACTTTTAAATTATTTGAATTTTTTTTTGAAAATTAATGATTCTGTCTAAAATTTAAATTGTTTAAATTAATCAATAAACAAATTTCACTTATTATAAAAATTTTTTATATGTATGTGTACTAGAAATTAATCCAACTTTATAAGTTTTTTTTTTGCTTTAAGGTGGCGTAATAGAATTCATTGTCAATATTTTCCATAACTCTTGTTTTTTGTTCTGTTGCCTGTACTAAAAACACTTTTAACTTATGTAATAGTTTGGTCTTTTTGAAAATTTCTTTCCAAAAACAAGAGAAACAAGTAAAAATATATGTACATTTAAAAAATTATATGTATGAAAAATATTTGAAAACAAAAAAAACTTAACCAAACTGAAAATACATAATTAATTTTGATAGAACGGTACAAAAAAAAATATTATTCTTTTTTTCTTTTTTGTTGTTTATTTAACCGAATCGACATCATCAACCTTCTGTACTATGACTAAATTGGCAAATACCTATCCTATGGTTATTATCTACTGAAAACAAGAATAACAAAAACAACAGAAGTAGAAGAATAAGAGTAAAAACACATTTAAAATCAAAAATATGGAACTTTTGTACAATTTTTTTTCCTTTTCTTTTGTGTGGTATAAACGTTTACAAACATCACCCATCTTCATAACATTGCAAATATTATACATACATAATAATAATTGTATTGTTTGTATATAAAATGATATTGAATTTATAATCCCCCTGTTCTCCACACTACCGGTTTTTGAAGCATACATCTATGGATTTTTGCCATGCCATATATACCTTTCTTATGTCTATCTATCGTTCTATGTATATTTGTTGTATTCTATAAAATTTTCTCTCTTATTCTCATTTCGCTTTATTTTCTTTTTTATTCAATATTCTTATTTCTTTTGTTTATTTTATATTTTCTCTTCTACTTTTCTATTCTTTTCTCTATATTTAAAAATAATGTTTTCTAATCGTATATACATACATATTTACACAGGATTTTTATATGTTGAGTTATGTACGAATATACACGCATACATATACAGAATATGAGTAAATTGTCGAGTATTTTTTATGCACGTATTCCTATGTGAGTGTATATATTCTTAAATATTATTAATACATTTTTATACACAATTTAAAAAAAATGAGCATCTCCTTTAACAATGAGCCAAAAAAAATATTTTTTTTTTATACACCACACCACACTATAGTTTCATCTTTGTCATCTTTGTATACTGTACTTTATTTCGTTAAGCCTTGTTACATACGTATTTAAATACATAACATATTATAAATGTAAGTACGTAAGAATAAATGAATAAGAATTAAGAATCAAAAAATAAGTTTTATTCTTAGAGAAAAGTCGATTAAATCATACATACACACATACATAATAATATTAAATGATTTGGTTTAATGATTTTATAAGAAATATTTAAAAAAAAACACAAACATTTCAAAAAATTATTCTATAACCTGTACTAGCACATTTAAAAAATTTTTATTTTAATAGAGCCGAAGTTGAGAAAATATTGCAAATTATGTACTACATACATATTTATATTACGTATGGATGTATATTAGCAGTTTAATTTTTTCAAACACACCACATATAAAAATTATTTGTCTGTGTGTATAAGATTGAAATTATAATGTGTATGTTTGCATGAAAATAATGCAATCGAACACAAAAATAAAAGAATTGTTAAAGAATATTATAAAAGAAAAACAAAAATGAATATTTTTTCTCTCTTTGCTTTCTAAATTGTTATTATTTTGCCGTTATATGATTGAAATTTTTTCTATAGAATTACAAACACACGCGCACAAATTGTCAAATGAGGTGTAATTATCAAATGTGAATGTTTTGTAGTAATGTGTAGGTTTAAATAAATACATAAATACATACATACATACACGGTGGAATAGAATAATGCACAAGTATTTTATTATTAAAAAAAGAATAAAAAATTTATAGTTTTTATTATGTTTTTGTTTTTGTAATGCTGTTAGAAAGCCTATAGCCTCTCGTTTCATTTTATACTTTATAGAAAAAATAGAAAAAGGTTTGGTTGTTCTAAATACCAAAAAGTAAAACGCAAATTCAGACCTTTTAGTTTTTTTTCTTCTTTTTTTTTCTCATTCTATGCAAGTATAAATTTCTATTTCGCTTCTTTCATAATTTTGTTTCCACTTTTTTTTTTGTTTTTTTTTTTTTGTTCTTGTTTTGGTTATAGAAGCATCTCTTCTAATTTTTCTTTTTGTTAGTTTTCTTTTTTCAAAAACGGTACGGTGTTAGTGTGTATAAATTGCATTTATAGTCGCTGATACTGTACCAATAAAAATGTCCTTTGCAAGGATTTAGTAAAGAAAAAAAATATTGCGTTCACTTAAAAAACTACATACAAATAAGCTTATGTAAGTTTTAATATGAATGTAATATTGTAATATGCGGATATACATAAGTATGTTTATACATATATAAGCAAGAATTTGTATGTTTTAGACATATATGGGAAAAGAAATCAAAATTAAACAGAAATTGTTTTAATTTTTGCTTTACTCATTTCATTTAACAATTTAAAATGGATTTGGAATTGAAAATTTATTAAAAGGGATGAAATAACAAACGAAAAGAAAACCCTTTTCCCATTTATATTATGTACATATTGAAATATAAAATTTTGTACGAGTATGTACATTCGTACAATACAATTGTGCAATATAGAAAAATATTTTAATAAAAAAAAAAAATCATATTAATATTTAATTTTAATAGCGAAATATTTGCGGTCTGTACTTATTTACATTTTTTGTAACGAAAGAAGTTATTTCGGTTAAACTAAGTTAACAATTTAGAATTAAATACAAAAAAAATCTTACATTTTTCATTCAATTTCTTTCAGTAATTTCGAAAATATTCGAAATAAATTTAACAAAATAACTTAAAATTAAAATCAATATGAATAACAAATGAGCAATCAAATTATAATAAGACTTCAATTTTTATGGAATGATTTTTGCAGAAAGTTCTAATTAATTTTAATATTTGAATTTCAATAGAATCAATTCACAATTATGTCACATATCATGTTCAATAATGATTATGCTCACTATTGGCCATCATTTATTTGGGATAAATAAATTATAATATAAAAATACAATTGTTTAGAAACCAATGATATTTAATCAATGGATTTATCGGTACAAACCTTTAACGGTTTTTAAGTCTACTTCATTTTGATAATATGCGGCAACAACTAACACTTATTTATTTAAAATTTAATTATTTAATCATTTTTTGCTATTTCCTGGGAGTATACAGCAAATAATGATATTAAATAAAAACGGAATAAATTTAGAAAAAGTTATGCTAACATTATAATTCTTAAGTCGATAAAACGAAAGAAAATAAAAAATATTGTTTAAACCTGTAACTAGTTAATTCTATAAGTACTTGAAACGTACCATTAGGATGCAAAAATCGCAACAAATATTTGGTTTGAAAGTGGTAATTTCCGACTGAGGTGGTAAACTTTAAAATCTCACCATTTGCGACATTGAATAATATAATTAGGAAGCTTTAAAAAACTAAAAAAATGCACTTAGAGCTGGAAATGGTTATTTTCTTATTTAGATCTATTAAAATCAAATGTAGTTCTATATTTTATGGTTGTTCTATTTTATCATCTTCAAAATTTATAGTTGTAATAGATCTTTTAACCCAAAGTGCCTTAAAATTTAAAATTTACTTGAATTTTTTAAAGTGTATTTAAAAACACTGTAGGCCTATGAATTAAAATATCTTGAAAATGTCAAAAACAAATTTATGCGAACATTGTCACAAGCCTTATGTATAAATAATTAAAAAAAAAACTTGAATTTAAAATTCATTCCTTAATTTTAACTTGACTTTACTAAGACACGTTAATTTTAATTTTAACAAAACTGTAGTGAATAATATTAATTTTTTGTTTTCTAATCGTCATTCCATCTTTCTTTTTTCGACAATACTAGTATTCCTAATTTAAATTTTCAATATTCAACTTATAATGATAATTTATTATATAAACATTATAAATTCAATGTGAATAGTCACATTAAACACAACACAAAAATTAAGTGATTTAACCAACAAATTATTATAGATTTAAGGTTATATTATTCTCTAAATAACATATAAGTATACCTCGTATGTATGTATAATGTCCATTGTATGTATTTATGTACATATTTTATGTATAAATGTATAATACAAGTCTATTTTTTCTAAGCTATAATTTATTTTAAAATTATTAAAATATAAAATGAATAGATGAGTCATAAAATGAAAACAATTACCTATACCTATTTCTATTCTATACAACTGTATGTATGTATACCTTCGCATATATAATTTTGTTATACATACACATTGTATAAATATAACAAAAGTATATTGTGTTATTATGAACTCAACTATTATTGTATTTTATAAATGTAATGC